TTATTGTCCTTAAATACATTTTTTTTCTAATTGAAATAAAATGTTGATTTTTTTGAAATAAACAAAAATTATTAAATTATATTACTTACGAGGATATTTGGATACATGCTCTACAGCTTCAGTTTCACCTGCTCCAACTGGCAAAGCTTCCTTATCATAACGCACGAATACCCAAAATAGCACCAGGAAAACTATTTGCACTAACATCAGGAGAACGAATCCTGTTACATTACCAACAGGCGAATGCATTTTATTGCTGTATAACAAAGCAACAGGATAACACTGGAAAATAAGTTGGGAGTAAAATGGACACTCAAATTTTTTGGCAATAATTAATAAAACGGTTTAATTTTTATTTTTATTCAAACATATATTAAGAAAAAATTAAAATTTATTTAAAATGTTTTTTCTTTTATTTATTTTAAAATAAAAATTATTTATAATAGTAAGAAAAGATCACTTTAAGAATTACAAATCAATATTGATTTTATTAATTTTTACACAATTTTTTAAAAAATAATTTCTTTACAAAATATAACAGTTTTTGTAATTATTATTATATTGTATATATTTATTATTATATTATAAACACATATATATGTTACATATTATATATATATAGTGTATGTTTGCTTTATAATTAATTTTATTTATTTTTATTCAAGTATATGTTAAGGAAAAATTAAAATTTATGTAGAATGTGGTTTTTCTTTAATTTATTTTATAATAAAAATTATTAATAATAGTACGAAAAGATCAGATAATGATTTTATTAATTTTCACACAAATTTTTTTAAAAAATAATTACTTTACAAAATATATCGGTTTTTGTTATTATTATTTTATTATATATATCTATATTGTATATTATAAACAAATATATTTTTTTTAATTAATATTTATGTCATTTGTTATATATCATATATATATAGAGTGTATGTTTGTTTTATAATTAATTTTATTTGGTATTAAATTCTAATAAGTCATGTGTTTTATATAATAATAATATTGATATATTAAGTACGAACCGAAACTTTTCTTTCAATGCAACTACGTTTGCTAATTTATAGCCCGCGTCCAAACACCTTCGACGTTGAAAAACGTTTGAGCTTGATTTGCTTGTGAAGTGTTCGACGGGGCGTATGTGTAATATTTGACGCTGTGCTGCGAACTACGAACTGCGTTTGTGTTTTTGTGTTAAAAAAAAGTGTAGTGAAATTTATCGCAAATACTTTAGCAACATTTCCAGTACATAAACGGCACTTAAATTGATTTGCTGTGTTTGTTGTGTGTTTCTAGTATTTGAAAATTTAATTTATTATAATTTAAATGTAATTGCATGCAAACATCATCAGAAGAACATTTCAATACATTTTCAATTGATACGTTTTCATTCAAATTTAATTCGCAAGGTTTACAGAGTTCCTACATATAAATTAATTTTCTTATTCAATGAATATTTCAAATGACTTTTAAATTTTCAAATAAAATTACTCAGTAAATCCTAATCAATGATATTCTATGCTTAATATACATTTACTGTAAACTACTATACAAGCAATGAGTATTACTTATATATACAATATATGTATATGTATATTTAAATACATATGTATGTAAATAATATAGAGAAGTATATGCAGAGAAAAAAATATTACTTATTTTATTTTAGCAAAATTTTTGTAAGGCTATTAATCAAGTATCATTCACATAGTAACGATGTGCTAAATGCACTATAATAAGAGCCCATCTTGTGATTTCATTCACAAATTTTTGTTGATATTTAAAATTAATATTTCTATCTTCGCTACTAATATGAAATACTCGCAAATATGAAAATTATTTTAAATGCCTTTAATGATACTTTCGGGCACTTGATAATATGATAATATATTAAATAGAAATGCAAGCAAAATTTGTTTTAATTGGTAATTCAATACTTGGCTTATTTTGTTGATTTTCTTTTAATTATGCAAATATTATGTTAAATATTTAGCATTTGAAATGAAATGAAAATTAATAAAATTAATATAATACTTATAATATTAAAGTAAATAAAAATATTTGAATATGTGAATGTTCTTTTGGCTTGTTGTGTACGATTCTCAATTTATCAATAACATCTGCTAAAATTTTTTTATCAAAATCAGATTAATATAAACGAAATAACGAGAGTTATACATACTTTTAGCATTTACTATAAGTTATAAGAGAAGAGAAGAAGCACAAGCAAAGAAAACAAAATTCATCTAAACTACTTAAATTTTTTAAAAAGTGGTTTTTGAAAAGTAGTGAACTGCAACAACAAAAATTCATTTTATATTATTTTAATTAAATGAATTTTTGGTTGAATTTTTTGTTTTTTTATTTATTACATATATATAACAAATTAAAATATCAAAAAGACAAGAATATATAAGCAGCAAAGGCTTTTGCAACTAGGAATGTATTTATTGCAATTTAATAATAAAATACAGTAATAGTGACGTTAAGATAACAAAGTAAATTGAAGTAGCTACATTGTAGCAGTTATCGAGGAAGAAAGATTTTAAATACGATACTATGTTATATCAGCCAAAGTAGACCAAGTCAAGGGAAAAGTATTATAGCCAACAGGAAAATCTCAATACTAAGAACAGCAAGCTGTCATATAACCAAATAATTCGACCGTCTCTTTTATATGGATGTGTAGCGTTTAGCAAAGCCTCAAACACTATTATTCGCCAGATAGAAATTGCAGAAAGCCAGGCTCTGAGAAGACTTTTTAAGGTACCATGGTACATTAGGACGAATAACATCCTCAGGGACCTTCAGATTGATTCGATCAAAAAATACATAAAGAATAGAGGCCTGAAATTATTTACGAAAACTGACAGGTTTACAAACACCGTCCTATCGAATCTCAGAATGGTTACAGGCTCCTCAGGGAGGTATGCAGATCTGAGGTCAATTATTGTTTAGTCTGATATTTCAGTCAAGGCGTAGAGAGGGGTTATGAAGAAACCTCGCAGTTAATAGAAAGGCTTGCCAGTTTTGTTTATTCATATTACTAATTTCAACATTTATCATGTTAAAA